TAACTAAGAGTTATTATCGCGTGTGAATTTTTGGTGTTCTGTTTCATAATTTACATATAATGAAATCAATAATCAAAATCAAATAATAATCCATAGTATAATCTACAGCACGTTCGAAATGAATTATTCCAATACTTTTTGTAGAATATACCATTATGTGTATTATTTCCATTCAATACTGAAAAAGTTCTTTCTGTATACAGAGTGCACTCATAGGCGCGAGGAAATCTTTTTTCTCTGTTCGGCTAGGGACAATTCTATCTGTGATATTTTCGACCTTGTTATTTTGCAACTTTCAAATATTCAATTTTTGATGATTTTGTATATATTTTGATGAGTTCTACATCCTGTTAAATAATACCTCACCTTTGACAGTACCCTGTATATACTTTGTAACATAGATGAATTCAAGATCTTCAAGAATACAGAAGATTCAAAGAGCTTTCATGTTGCTGTAAAATGATACAGGGCGAAATCCTATTGCTGTTTTGACAGTATTGAATGTAAATCAATTTCTAAAATGATAGGTAGCTGCGATTTTTTTTTCAGTTGTTGTGTTGTTTCACATGATTTATTTATTTTACACACATCTTTTACGATCAATTTTTATTTATATTAGCCATACATTAGGCAGCTATTATGTTTCCCAAACAAGATATATCATTTTCAACAAAGAAAATTTTCGGAAATAAGAAACACACAAACAAAGTGGGAAGACGGTCCATTCGCATGGGAAGTATTACCAAATTTCGAGAATGTGCTCAAAATTGAATGTAAAATACTTCAATGGTAAATTTAACAACACTTATCAATAAAGACGTACTCATATGTAGTATAACTTACGTAGAATTGGATACTTTACAAACAAATTCAATTTCTTTAAAGAAAAAACAGTTGTTCGTGAAAATATGCTATCACTTGTTCTCTAGTTGAAACTGAATGAATAAAACTTTTATCTGAGCATATTCTCAAATCACCAAAATCACACCTAGTACAAAGTTAATATATTATAATTCGAATAACTTTCTCAAACAAAACAGCTAACGATTCGTTTTGAATAATAATTGCACAAATGTCCACAAAATTAGACAGATTCACTATTGAACCCTAAAACAAAACTAGATACCAACAAACTGAGAAATAGTCGATTGATTCCGAGTTCATATCCTTTCTGAACCAAAAAAAATTTTAGTTTCAAGTTATGTTTCAATGTTTCCAAATATCATTATGCCCAAAATCTGAAAAGTGAAACAAGATAGACAAAAATAAAAAATGATTGTCTAGTCTTCTGTTGTAATCCACAGCTAGGGTTTTCAAGAACCACAAAATCATTGTTACACACGGTGATATTTATATTATACAGGGTGTTTCTTGAGTTCGTTTAGAAAATTCAGGAGCATGTTGCTGACGTCAAAATAAGAAGAAAAGTTCGTATAAATATATGTCCGAAAGTTATTCGTTTCTGAGATACTAAACTTCATTCGAATATCACAATTATCTTGATATTTATTAACAAAAAACAAAAATTAGAATTCAACTTTGACACTCTGTATCTCAGAAACGAATAACTTTCGGACATATATTTATACGAACTTTTATTTTTATTTTGACGTCAGCAACATGCTCCTGAATTTTCTACAAGTACCCACTCAAGAAACACCCTGTTTATATCATATTTACATAATTTTAAATTAGATTTCCCAGCTCATGATGAATTCCTATTGGAATTATTCATAAACTTTACTAGGAAGATCAAAATCAGTCGACAATTTTTACAACATAACAAATTATATTTCCAGTGAGCCATGCCTCAAAGCATAAGGTTCAACAGCACTAAAAGAAGTCCAATTTTTTCATTGTTCAATCTTTTCATCCTGTTTTTGTATGAGTGGGAAAGTCCACAATGTTCATCGGGCGATCACACTAAAAAGCAAGGTTTTTTTTTGTTAACTCGGCAGTAGATTTTCCTCGCTTCTAAACTTCTACACCCACCAGGAAGATTGGATATTCGTTGTAAAAATAAAATCTAGAGCACCGCTGATCAAAATTCCATTGGATTAAAGAACACATTTTTGTACGACGATGGTTCAGTGCAGAGCCCAAGGACACGAAACTTTGACTTCATCAACTTGTAATGCACGAAAATAAAGAGAGTTGTATACAGAGCGTTGCGAAATTCGATAGACAATGCTTTACATAGAAATTTGGCAGGAACACAACGTAGGTATTACCCAGCGAGCACAAACATCCCTGGGATGTTTTGGGATGTTTTGAAAATGTTGGCATGAAGATGTTATTTTGAGACGTAATATGCACTGACCAAAGAGGTCTTTGAAGGATATTGAAGTATTGTTTTTGTTCTTCTGTGGCATTGCTTTGTTTGCCTTCTGAGAGGTATCCCTGGGATGTTTTGGGATGTTTTAGAAATGTAGGCATGAGGATGTTTTTTTGAGGCGTAATAAGCACTTCCCAAAGAGGTCTTAGAAGGATATTGAATGTATTGTTTTTGTTCTTTTGTGCCCTTTCTTTGTTTGCCCCACCACAACGTCTCATGCTTACGTCACAATACGATGAATTCTGATTTGTTTTCGATTTTGTTCTTCTTGTTCGCAATTGGCATTCGCGTTTGCAGCGTGTCACGCTTACATCACGCTGCTAACGAATAGAAAGGAATTTGGTGAAGTTTATTGTGTTAGAAGACTTATTTAGTTTGTAATAATGACCATCAGATGCAAGATGTGTTGTTTTCGGTGCCTCAGTGTAATCAATATATAAAAGTACGAATTTATCAATACACAGCTTCTCCGCAGTTGCAAAATTATGCATTGTGGAGAACATTTCAAAAATTGGGAAACCTATTTCCAATTATATGTCTGTGTGTAGTAAGCACTACTCAGAAACCGATTAAGAAGGTAATTTCATATCAAGAAAATATTTTTATGTTCAATTTATTTTTAATGCATTTTTTCATTCAAGGGAAATGGAATCCTAATGCAAAAGTTCATTTTGACAAAAGGCTTCAGAAAAGTACCTCGAAAATGTTTTTTTACAGAGATTTAATGTGCGCAAGACGCGTTGAAAATGTTCTGTTGTGTCCATGAAAAGGCTTTGAAAAGAACTAGGGAGAAGGTAGTTTTGTGACATATCAAGGACATCTCGATAATTGCCGCCTGCGGCGGACATTGGCTGTTCTATAATAGTTCTATTCATGTGTGAACAGAACATCGCAGTGGAGGTTCAATGTCTCGAAATCTCGTACTTTTAACATCTCTGAGATGTTTTTGTGCTCGCTGGGATGTCTTATTCTTTTATTCACTCAAGCATTGTCATTTAGAAAATAGAAAAGAACAGAAGTTCAGCTGTGTCCGAATACCATCCAGTTACTCTAAAGGTCCTCAAATGATGAATTTTATGGTATAAGGTGTTGAAAAAGATTTTTTTCAAGATACATGAAGAAAAAAACAACTCAGTTCTTGAAGACCATCTCTCCACTTTAGTTGTTATCGACTCAACGATCACCTGTGAAGCTTTATATCGGTCGAATTTCGTAGCACCCAGTATAACACAGTAATCCTCAACTCTTCAAGATAAGTATTTTCTCGGACTGTTGGAAAAATCTCCAAAAATTTAAAACGTCAAAAGTTGTAAAAGTTTCTTATTTTTCAGTTGCAATCACAAAATGAAGAAGGAAATTTCGATGTTTAGAAGCACATTTCTTATAATTCTTCTTCTCAGACTCTGCACCATTTGATATTCCCTTCGTTAAGTGCATCGTGCATTTTTCTACTTAGTATTATTGCAGCTTATCAAAGTGATTTTTGAACAAGTATGTCCATCGACGTACAAACTATAACGAATTTTCATTTCTCAATAAATTGTCTTTGGTTTCATCACCGCATTCCGTTTTTTTTTTGCACGCACAGTTTCACAAGTTTTTGCATTTGGCTAACTACACTCCACACTAACATTTAGTTATATTGATTTTTAACACTTTGGATCAATTTTTTTCAAGTATTTATTGTTCGATACTGTCAGTTCGCGATTTTTTTCCACTTTTTAACACAAGGCATGACTGGACATTACAAGCCAGCCCAGCTTTGAAACAACTGATTGTCCATCTTGTATTGGTGTTTCGAAAGATTATCAACCTGCCTCACCACGTTTCATTATTTACTGGATTTTATAATGGAGAAAATTAATACTTTGTGTCAAGAATCTTTTAATTCAAAAAAAGAGTTGAATTTTTCATAGAAAAAAGATATAGGAAGGGTGATTCACAGTGAATTTTCTCCATCAATTTCATGCTGAAAGTCTGAGATACTCGAAACAACAATCATTATTTGCCAAGTATCCGCCATGGCAGTAACAGTTAATATTATTCAACATTTTAAATAGGCCATCTCTGACAGTTTCTTCCGTTTATTTCGAAGGTTATCTGCTTCAGACCTGTTGGGACCTCAATTATTGTTGTGAAAAAATCTCTATTTGATATCATATCTCAAATGACTGATTTTTTTCCTCGAAATTTCAACTTATTTTCTATGTTGGCATCACTGTTTTTGACACTTTCACCAGACTATATTTGGTTTTGAGATTCTGAATAGGCATTACAGAATTGTCCACAGTTTCGAAAAACATGTTGAGTACTATATTATGGAATAAATCAAATCAAGAACGAAAAAGTCATTGAATCACAATCAAACCATTCAAACATATTCAACTAATCATACTTCGTACAATAATTCGACATATAAAACAAAACTTTGGTCCTTCGAACCGGATAGACAGCGACAGTTCTCACAAGAAGTCCATATACAACGATAGACAGCAGTGCTGAAAAGATTCAAAATTGTGTTTGATATATTGAATTGTACGAAGTATGATTAGTTGAATATTTTTGAATGATTCGATGACCTATTCGTTCTAAAAATCGATTAATTCATTTTCATTGTTCCTTATATCGCTGGAAACCATTTAACAAGGTATACTATCTGATAACAATTGGCAAAAACTTCAATGCGTCAACAATAGTGATGCCAACATGAAAAAAGTCAAAAAATCATCATGATTCCACAGTTAAAATGACCGTCTCAATAACGAATACCAATAAGAGACCCCGCAGACCCGCTCACTTGCCTCACCCCGAAAAACGACCCCCTTCGCGCCGCGAGCCCCCGTTTCGGAAGCTGCGCCGTCAGCCATCATCAGACGCTATCGACGGACGCGAAACGCTCCCCCAACTCCTCGCAAAAATGCACGGGGGGTTGACGGGAGGTACCCGGCACGGGAGGGGCGCACATGGCGCGGCGAAGGGCACCCCGACGCCGGCGACGTCTCCGACGCTTGCGGTGGCAGATGACGCACAGGAGGACGACGGTGAGCAAGATGGCGGCTAGGGCGCTCACCCAGGAGGCGCGGAAGCGCTCCTGAGGCTGCTCGTCTGCAGCACCTGGAAATTAATATTAATCATCTAGATACATTATGAAAAACCTTATAGAATACTAAATCGAATATCTCTAGAGTACTTCATGAAATACTTCATGGAATACTTCATAAAATATTTCATGAAATACTTCTTAAAATACCTCATAAAATACTCCATAAAATACTTCAGGAAATACTTCAGGAAATACTTCAGGAAATACTTCATGAAATATTTCATAGAATACTTCATAGAATACTTCATAGAATACTTCATAGAATATTCCTTGAATACTTCATAAAATACTTCATAAAATACTTCATGAAATACTTCATGAAATACTTCATAAAATACTTCATAAAATAATTCATGAAATACTTCATAAAATACTTCATAAAATACTTCATAAAATACTTCATGAAATACTTCATGAAATACTTCATAAAATACTTCATAAACAACTCCATTAACTACTTCATGAAATACTTCATAAATACTTAATAAAATACCTAATAAAAAAGTTCATGAAATACTTTATGAAATAATCCATCAGATTAATTTTTGGAATAATTTGATTCTTCATCAATGATGTGGATTTATTCGATATTACACAAAATAGTGCATTAAAGGTTATAAAATATGTTATAAAATACTTTATTGTAAATTTCATAGAATACTTCATAAAATGCTTCAGAAAATACTGTATGGAATGCTATTATAGACTGTTCTTGATTTACTTATTCGATTAATTCATGGAAAATATCATTGTTATGGATTATTCTGAAAATTATTCATATATTTTACGGAATAATGCATCAAACGTTATAAAATATCTCATAAAATACTTCATTGAAAATGTTATCGAGTAATACATTGAATGCTTGATAAAATACTGTTAAATACAAGAACTTTCCTTGAATTGATCAATTGAAAATACATCATTGCCATGGATTACTTTGAAAAATAGTGGAATACTCTGTTGGAATATATAATTGAAATTGATTACTTAAAAACATTGTCATACATGTCACAAAATAGTGCATCAATCAATTATATTCGTCACGCCTATTTCAATTTGTGATCGACATACTTCATGAAGCATCTGATTTGTGAATACTTCATTGAAATACGTGATTGAAATACCTCACTGAAATACTTCAGGAGACACTTTATTAAAATGCTTCCATACAATACTATACTTCAATCAAATAGTTGCGTAATTGAATGGAATACTATATTGCGATACTTGGTTGCTATATGTAAGTCATTCATACGGTAATAATTCACACTGATCGCTATTTAACTTCAAAAGAAAAATGGAATCCTATATTAATACTATCAAAAACTTCATTATCATGCTTCATACCCACAAAGTACATGAAATGTTCTATATCTACTACTTTCATTGATGTTTAAAATACTTCAAAATGATGAACGTGGATGGAATATCTATTATCATTCGAATTCGTAATCAAGAAGTTATATTGAAGCACCTATTCAATAGTTGTATATTTTTCTGATCTATTAACTTCATTGCAATAATTCAATTTGTCACTAAACTAGATTTTTGTCAGTCTACACCCAAAATACATGTTGCCAACATCTAAACTACCATGCTACATACAACCTAGTCAGCTTATGAAAATGGAGCTAAAGATAATGAGGGAAAGAGAGAAAAAGAGAAACTCACGTGAGAACGTGAGACAAGCAGTAGTGACTGTCATGCTGTGTTGAATAGTGGTAGCAGTGGTGGTTGTGGTGGTGGTAGTGTTGGTGGTGGGGACAGAGGTAGTCACTCCAGTCTCGCTATTGGCGGCAGTAACAGCGCCATCAGTAGCGGTGGTAGCAGGTGCCTTAAGCTACGTGGACTTCGTAAAGATGCGCGCGAAGCACCTGTACAAAAATATTTTCCATGTTATCTTTTCGAATTTTGATTATTCAATAACCTGCCACCACTTTTCCATATGCATGCATTCTATGTCTAAAAACATGGAGATGAAATGCGAACACGATAACTGAATGAAAAAAACTACCTAACAATCAAAACGGAATAGATATCATGACATAATTATTATGATTATTTCTAGACAAGTTTGGATGAATGGGCAGTAATAGATCAGAGGATAAACTGTGATATTCTTTCTCAGAGGAGTCAACGCAATGGTGATCGAACCAATGACTTTCGTAGCTCGAAAAACTACATATTCAGATAGTAGAATCGAAATGAAATCGATATCTCGACAGCAGAGATAGACTTGGCAAATTGGACAGTAGTCTGAGGGAAAAATCCGATTTCATCTGAGAATATCAAGTTCAATTCTGATAGTGCCATAATCTTTTTCAGGTCGAAAAATGCCTAATTAGGTCGCAGAATTGAAATGGGAGCGAAAACTAGACCACCTAGTCAGGACACAGAAAATAAAATTGGTTTGATGAAGGATGAAAACAATGGTCACGTAGTGACTTCCGTCGAGGTTGTTGAAAAGACGAACTATTTTTCTGGGTCAAGAAACTACCTGATTCTGTTTCACAATCGACTACTACTACATGATCATATGTGAGAATCGAAGTGAAATTATTATCTAGACAGATAGCGGAGAAAGGCTTGGTAAAATTGAATAGCAGGTTTGGGCAAACACTGTTTTCTGAGAGAATATGGCACAATTTTAATCGCGCCGTTAGCTTCTTCAGGTGAAAATTCTGCTTAATTAGGTCGCAGAATTAAAATGGGAGTGAAATCTAGACCGCGCAGTCAGGAATCAATTTGGTTCAATAAAAGATGAAAACAATGATCACCCAATGACTTCTGTCTAGGTTGTTGAAATGACAAACTTTATCGGATGTGATTGAATTCAACTGAATAAGAATTGTCGTTCATCAATCATGTGTCAATTGGGTAGAGGATTCATAGGATAATGACAAATAACCAATTATTTGTGGATGCTTGATTCATAGAGAATGTCCTGTAACTCTGTCCACCTACCTCCTCTTCCTGCTACCTTATCTGAACAAGATATTCCACAAACAAAATACAGATTACCTCTCGTGCAAACCGAAATAATATTCTACGACTTCATAATGAGTTTATTTTATAGATACCAATCAGATTTCCATGCATCAATCAACACTAAAAAAGTGCAAATAACTCACAGTCCATCTCATCAGAATCGTCATCGGAACCACAATTGGGAATGTCGTTGCAGCGCAGCTTGTCAGGAATGCAAAAGCCCGTTTTCAGACACTGAAACTCATCGCAACTAGGCCCATCGATCACCTCAGTCCAAGCAGCCCTAAAGCCTTGAGCTCCCACGGCTTTATCAGCAGTAATGAAACTGAAAATCACACAGGGACTCAAAAAGGGAGTGCATATATTGGCATTGGAGAAGTATAAAGACGAATGTGAAGCATCGCAAAGTGGCCATCAGTGGTCCTGGAACCGACCTAGGTACACTATTGACACGGAAAGACCAATAATAATTAAATAAATACGAAAAGGTTGAAGTCATGCCCACACAATGTTCATAAAATGAACAACAATGATAGATTTAGATCAAGTCGGCCGATTTGATTTATGTTTGGGTAGGCTACGCTTAATCGGCGGTCTTAGGACTGCTGTCTGGAGACTGCACTGCACTGAAGAGAGTCAAAGAGCTTGGAACCGGTCTGTAGATGTCTGGCGTGGCCTGGCTAAATCGAAATCAATAGTCATTCAGGAAATAATCACTTGTATCAGTATTCGTTTGTACGAGTCGATGCATAGATTTCGGGAGGATGTTATTCAATGTCCTGCGTGGCATTAGCCAGGAAAGTAGTTGGTTTTCTCCTTAAATCTACCATTGTTGTTCATTTTATGAACATTGTGTGGAAATGATCTTGAGCTTTTTGTATTTATTTAACATTTCATTCCACTTTGACCATTGTGGCTATTCCGTAGTTCCAATCATGATTATTGAATTTCAAACTCACCTGAACCTCATGGTATTCGAAGTTGACACGTACTGCCAAGTTCTATCTCCTACGGGTTTTTCTCCACAAAGTTCGATAGGTATCGAAGTTAGATCAATCCATAACCTCAAAACTGCAGCTGGGCAACCTCTACCTATGTTATCAAAAAATACTGTAGTAACTAAATTATCTTTCAAATTGCTTTTCGGGGTTATTTTACCTAGTGGTTCACCTTCTACTGCAAATTTTTCGAAAACCAGAAGGATCTTGTACTTTGGCCTCGCTGTTATGTACCAGTTGCAGCTTTTCGAAGCTTGATTCTTCGATGGGGCGTTATAATCCTTTGGGAAATTAGGGCTAGTGAGGATCCCGTGATCTTGGCTACTCACGTTGCCACCACAATCTCCAAAGATCGATTTGGCCTCTTCAAAACTGTACCTGGAAATCGAACGAAAAAAAACCCTATCACGATTGAGGCAGAGAGACCCAAATATTTGTCTTTGTATGGGCAAACGAGTCTTTGTAGAGACCTGTTCGACAAATGACCATTCCCTCCTATTAGATTCTAGATGAAAAACCATTGTAAAGTTTTAATGAGCTCTACCTTGCTTTGAATCCGCTATAGACTCCATCAGAGTCCGAATGGAGGATGAGTTTGAGGCCAGTGGCACCCCTGTTGGACTCTATGGGCCCGGGAGCTGACATGTGACAGTACCTTCCTATTTTGGTTTCGGTACCGTCGCGGTACACGTTGAAGATTTCTATCCAGTCTTCTTGGCATATGGAAGTTCTGAAACCAGAAGGTAGTATTTGCTCGAATCAGTAGTACACCTGGGTCGATTCTCGAACTAATTCTTCACAGTGTGCGTGTACGATAGCCTGGTGGCCTTGTCATGTTTTGGATTAATTCTCATAAATTCTATGCATTCTATCAGTTTTGAAAAATTCAAGCGGGGGGTTGAGGGTCTCGTGGATCCTGTATACTATGTAAATTTGGTATATAGTAAAATCGGATTTTTTTACATTTACATATACATTGAAATCCTGTCTACGGTGAAATTTTGTGAAAATCTAGGATTAGATAGATCAAATCATGCTGAACAAGAAATATCCTCTGGTCCAAGGTCCGTTATGCCTGTTAATAGAAGTTATAATATCTTGTCTATTCTGATGATTTCGTACATTCTAGTTGATTGGTATTTTTTAATTGCCTGAATTCTGTAGATTTTGACGCTTTTTGGAGACTTTTGTAAATGTTGTGAATTTTGTGAATTCTGGAAGTATTTTTCAAAATTTTCTGGAATTTTGTAGATTTTGTAAATTTTATGGATGTTTAATATTTTGTTGATTTTATGAATTTTGTAAACATTGTAAATTTTGTCAATATGGTGAATTTTCTGAATTTTTTAAATTAAGTGATATAAACTGAATTGCTTACCCATAGGAACCGATACTCGTATTGACGTTGTCGGCGCGTATTTTGAAATTGTCAAAAACTAGCGTCACCTGCTCGTTATTGGTGGCGAGAAAGAGATAGGTGCAGTTTGTATCGCTTGGGTAATTGGAAGGGTAACGTGGCGAGTTGAACTCTCCTTTTTTCTTGCTGGTACTTCTATAAGTAAAAGAACAGGAACCGTCTGGAGCGGCTGTTCCTGGTATTCGGTATTCTACAAAGAAAAATCTTCGACTGAGAAAACAGACGAGAAGGTTGTCAAGACAAAAAAGTTGAAAACGGTATATTCGCTTACCAGTCTCAAAAGTATAGTTGGCTTTGAAGCCACGGCCCATCAGCTCACCGCTGCTGAAGACCATGACTAGTCTGGGACCATCAGAAACTACCACCATGGGCTTACTTTCATCCCCGCACATTTCGTAATCGAACTTATCGTACGAGTCAGTCGTCTCTTGGCCTTTCAGGTAGATCTTTAGGTACCCATCAGAACAACTGAAAAATAAATTGATGTTGAGGTTATGTAACTCTTGTCACTTTATGAAAATGATGAATCTCGTGATTCCTTCAGATTCAGAATACTGTGAATTTCGTATATTCTGTGAATTTCGTAAATTCTTGAATATGTTGATTCTGTAAATTTTGTGAAATCTTGAAATTTTGTAAATTTTGTAAGATTTGTGAATTTTGGGAATTTTGTAAATTTCCTAAATTTTGTGAATTTTGCAGTTTGAAAATGTAAATTTTGTAAATTTTGTAAATTTTGAATTTTGTAATTTTTGTAAATTTTGTAATTTTTTGTAAATTTTGTAAATTTCGTAAATTTTGTAAATTTTGTAAATTTTGTAAATTTTGTAAATTTTGTAAATTTTGTAAATTTTGTAAATTTTGTAAATTTCGTAAATTTTGTGAATTTTGTAAATTTTGTAAATTTTGTAAATTTTGTAAATTTTGTAAATTTTGTAAATTTTGTAAATTTTGTAAATTTTGTAAATTTTGTAAATTTTGTAAATTTTGTAAATTTTGTAAATTTTGTAAATTTTGTAAATTTTGTAAATTTTGTAAATTTTGTAAATTTTGTAAATTTTGTAAATTTTGTAAATTTTGTAAATTTTGTAAATTTTGTAAATTTTGTAAATTTTGTAAATTTTGTAAATTTTGTGAATTTTGTAAATTTTGCAAATTTTGTAGATTTTGTAGATTTTGTAAATTTTGCAAATTTTGTAAATTTTGTAGATTTTTAAAATTTTATAAATTTTGTGAATTTTGTGAATTTTTCAGTGAAGTTTGTGAATATTATAGTGAATTTTGTAAATATTTTGTAAATTTTTGTAAATTTTGTAAATTTTGTAAATTTTGTAAATTTTGAAAATTTTGTAAATTTTGTAAATTTTGTAAATTTCCTAAATTTTGTAAATTTTGTGAATTTTGTAGATTTTGTAGATTTTGTAGATTTTGTTGATTTTGTAGATTTTGTGAATTATGCGGAATTTTTATACATTTTGTGAATTTCTTTGAATTTTACAAATTTTGTGAATTTTGGAAATTTACAAAATCTGGACAATTTCGTAAAAATTTTTTAAATTTTGTGAAATTCTGTTAATTTTGTAAATTTTGAAAATTTTGTGAATTTTGCGGAATTTTCATAAATCTTGTAAATTTTTTGAATTTTACAAATTTTGTGAATTTTGGAAATTTTGTGAATTCGTGAATTTTTATAGGTTACTCACTCTCCCTTCGTGCCCTTAGGAATCCCGAACATGACGAAGTTCAGTCGCACCCTTTCGAGATGCTGCGAATCTTGCATGCCGTAAATAAAATAGCGACAAACGAGCTTGGAGTGGTAGGGCAAGGGGTAGTTGGGACTGTAGACGAAACCGTTGGACTCCTTCTTGCTCAGAATTTTCTGGTCGCATTCGGTGCCCCTAATGTGCTCCCCCTCATCCTTTATGAAATCTACAAGGAAAAACGAGAAAAATAGTTAGCTGTGTACTCGAGCCGCAAAACAGCATTATAGGGTACCCAGCAGATGGCCGACGCATTGCCGGTGAATTTTTTTTTCGGTGACTCAAGTGACTGACAGAACTAACCTAATTTGGTGAAGGAGTTGGAGAACTCGAAGATGCCCTTGAAGCCCCTGTTCTGGGAGTTGGCTGTGCGTGGGAGGGTTACGAAAGTGACGAGCAGCGAGGATTCTGAGGAGTAGATGACCAGGTTGCGTTGCTGGCCGCAATACGTCCCAATCACTGCTGAGCTGTTGTCTGGACCATCGTACACTTTCACGTAGTCGAAGGGGCAACTGGAATTTTCACTCGTTGAATTTTTGTGATTTCTTGTGAATTTTGTTAATTTAGTGAATTTCTTGAATTTGTAGGTATATTGTTATCTAAATTTTCGTAAAAACTGTGAATTCAGTAAATTTTTAAGATTTTGAAAATTTTAAAGATTTTGTAAATTTTGAAGATTTTGTAAATTTTGTAAATTTTGTAAATTTTGTGAATTTTGTAAATTTTGAATTTTTTGTAAATTTTGTAAATTCTGTAGATTTTGTAAATATTGTAAATTTTGTAAATATAGTGAATTTGGTAAATTTTGTAAATTTTGTAAATTGTGTAAATTTTGTAAATTTTGTAAATTTTGTAAATTGTGTAAATTGTGTTAATTGTGTGAATTGTGTGAATTTTGTAAATTCTGTGAATTTTGTGAATTTTGTAAATTTTGTAAATTTTGTAAATTTTGTAAATTTTGTAAATTTTGTAAATTTTGTAAATTTTGTAAATTTTGTAAATTTTGTAAATTTTGTAAATTTTGTAAATTTTGTAAATTTTGTAAATTTTGTAAATTTTGTAAATTTTTCAAATTTTGTAAATTTTGTAAATTTTGTAAATTTTGTGAATTTTGCAAATTTTGTAAATTTTGTAAATGTGAATTTCGTGAATTTTGTAAATTTTGTAAATTTCGTGAATTTGGAAAATTTTGTAAATTTTGTGAATTTGGAAAATTTTGTGATTTCTTCAAATTTTGCGAATTTTGTAAATTCTGTGAATTTGGTAGATCTGGTATATCTTGTAAATTTCGTGAATTGTGTGAATTTTGTAAATTCGAAAAATTTTGAATATTTTGTATATAATTGAAAATTCGTGAATTTTGCGAATTTTCTGTAAAATTTGTAAATTTGGTAAATTCTGTAAATTTTGTTGATTCTGAATTTTGTAGAAATTTCGTAAATTTGGTGAATTTTGTAAATTTTGTGAATAGTGTAGATTTTTTAAATTTTGTAAATCGTAAATTTTTTCAATTTCGTAAATTTTGAGAAATGTTTTGATTCTATAATTGTTTCAAATATCACAAATCTCGTGAATTTCATTATATTTCAAATTTTCTGAATGCAAATTCCATAGATATCGTAGATTTTGTTAATCTGGTTCGTTTTATCTTTGTAAATTCTGTAAGTTCTGGGGATTTTCCCGAGAATATCATGATTTTTCAAAAATTTCATAGGTTCTGTAGATTTTTTATATTCTGTGCATCTGGATCGCTCGGTAACTTCGGTGAATTTGAAGGAAGACTCACTGCGGTCCTCCGAAAAACAAATCAAAGTCTCGGAACTCGAGCCGAATACGTTCGCCCAGCGCGCCCAAAAACTGGTAGGAGCAGTGCAGCGCCTTCGGGTAGGCGCCGGGATAGGTGGGAGTCAAGATGGCTCCCGAGGGTTTCACGGAGCCCTTCACCAGAAAGTTGCAAGGGCCCCCCGCCAGAGGCGTGCCCACCTCGTATTCAGCTGAAAAATGAAAATTAATGAAAAGTCAAATCGGTATGAGATAAGTTGAGTAGAGTCGGAGATTATGGAATATCGTTTCTATTTCTTGAGTTATTTCGGAACGGCAAGGGCTTACCATATTTTTTTTTTTGGAATAATCTCCAGCAAACATTCCATACAATCGCCACTGGTATAAATATTGAAAAATCTCTAGATTTCAAAGAAATGCCTATGCTTAGTAGGTGAATTCCAAATTTCATGAAATTATCTAGAACAGTATTGAAGATATGATGAGAAAACGATATTTTTCAAAATTTCAATAACTTATAGCTCGAAAGTTAAGGGCTGAGGAACCATTTCCCATATTTTAAGCCATCAATTAAATAACACCCTGTTGTATGGCAAAATATCAAGTAAGTATCGCATCGTCGTCATTGTGTTGACAACGTTTTAGTTCTGTGACATTTTCAAGGATGATACAAAAATACCAGTTGTTGTTATAAGCTGTCACGTTGTTCACAACCTTTTAAGTTGCTTCTGAAATTTTTTAAATTTAAGGAAATGTATTTCTCGCAGTAGAAGGGTAAGTACCATTTTCCTTCATTCTTTAGGGTTCGATAATTAGGTTTTCCAGTAAGAGAGTAGAAAAATATTTTCGAACTCACAAATATCGAATCGACGTTTATCTCACCGACTTAAATGATATAAAATTATCGACGTGGAATTTGACGTTTTCAACAGGAACTACACCTGCGGGAAAAAAGTAGTTTATGAAAAATTACATTTTATAACCTGTCAACACAGATGTAATGTCAAACTTTTTTTCCCGTCACAGAAAAAACTTATTTTTTCTTCTACACTTTGGCGAAGGGGAATGAGGTTGCGCACTTCCTTTGAAAAAGGGTGGATTCGCTGACTATATGAATCTTTATCGATTTTGCTACATTTCGGGCAATCTTGATATCTACTGGAAACAACTCGCCGTTCGTTCTGAATAATAATACTTCCCGATGCTAGATCGTAGTTCAGGAAGGACAAGTGAAGTATCAGTTAAATAAACTCATTAAGAATATCAAGAAGGTGAATCAATGATGGATTTGTTGATAATTTTTTTTATGTTCTGGTTCTCACAAAAAGGGATATCCTGTAATGTTCAGAGAACATCGTGAGAATCAAGGGAAATAAGGTAGGAATTGGTGTTCTCCTAAAATTTCTGGAGGTTATATGCCTTGGGAAACACCTCCCTTGGCAATGTGTTCCAGAGCCTCGCTGTTCGTTGGATGAACGAATCTTTCGAAAGAGATGTTCTGCAAGTCTCCAAAGTAACCACGAAGGGGTGCGAAGCCTCAACTCGACGGGTTAATCTCACGGGGACTGCCAAGGGAGGAGCAATTGTTGATATTTCAGAAGGGCATCGTCCATGAAAATATCTATAAAATAGAGCCAGATCGCCAACTTTTCTACTGTGTTGCAGAGAAGTGAGTGAGTTTGTGAGCGAGGCATCACCCACGTAAGATTATTTCCACTAGACTTGTATATGGATGAGGGATTTGTTCCTATCTATCATCAGTGGACCAGTAAACTCTTCCATTATTTATTCCTAATCTTCAGACTATATATATATTTTCTTCAAAATGGTTCTGAGATCTCACAATCACGAATGAAGCCACAGTCTCATTCAAGCTAGAGTGACTTTATAACGCGAGTGACGACAATAGACATCCAAATGGCTTTCCGGAATGCTAAAAATCTGAAGGGAATCTTCATTAATGCATTTGCGCCTTCGAAGTGCCAACCTGATGTTAGGTTTAGATATTTGATATTGATTTTTTTCTATGACAATCTCTGTTTACATTATACCATGAACATAGATAACTTTGGGAACAAAATCAGCTCTAGCAAGTTCAGAAACACAAACGAACAGACCTATAGTTGCCTGATGATATTATTGCTCTCCTAATATGTGAAAAGATTCCTAGTTGCTTTCTTTTCAACTGAATAGTATGTTTTTCATACGAGTAATGGTTGTGTATAAGTTTTTTATCCCTTGGAGCGCACGAAAGGAAATTCCCTTCATGTTCGAAGAACATCGTGCATACCAAGAGATGATTGTTTTCAACTCTTGGGAGTACTAAGTTCTTGGGAATACTCTCAAGTTTATAGAACATATAGGCATTATTAATTCACTTCAAAGGAGATTAGGTGTGAAAAGTGGCAATATCACTTTACATCTTATCTCTTATGTCGTAATCAGACAACGCAGAGCGCGGTTGCCGAGTCACCAACTGGTATTTGCTGATTGTTTGGTCATATAGAACGTTCGTTTGACGTGTCGTGTTACAACATTGCTTTTGTTGATAGATAAGGTTACATATGAGGAGACTTTGACAATATTATAATATGTGCTTCATATCCATACATTTTGTAATTAAACTTATTTCACCTTCTCCATGTTTTTCATTCCTAGTGTTTGTTAGAATGGATCCTTATCAAGTGAAATCTGGTTCAATTCTGTATTCCCCTTTCGAATTCAAACAAAGTTCGACCCCATTGTTCTTTTGTTGGCAGCCATTTCGTTGACCACCGACAAAATATCTGCGAACTATTATTTTCTCCGAGCCATTTATCACCGCACGTGAATACATCAGGATATTTTCAGGGGATTTCCCACCCCCCTCCCCTCTTTCCCGAGTTATCCCAGAATCGTTCGCTCTCTTTGTTTAGCGGTGACTCATGGGATGAAAGTTGCGAAAATTAAGTATTTCTATGAGAGGAAGTTTTGTGGGTACATCGTTTCAGCTAATTGAGTTAGCAAAATAATGTTGCAAAAATCATTAGTATCATTAGCAGAGTCGAGCTGAATCCAGTGAATTCTGAAGTTGCTGTGTATTCAATACAATTCACTTGATTTAGTGGAACTTGTTGTTTCGATGATTAATTTCATTTATTTCATTCCATTAAGGTTGTTAATTATATTATGGCACTTGATATCTCCAAGGCATTCGATCGAGTCTGGCACCACGGACTCCTCGACAAGCTTCCATCTTATGGCTTGCTTCCCCAGCGATGTTATCTGCTAGCTAGTTCTCTCTCAAACAAGACTCTCCATGTAGTGGTCGACGGAGTTTCATCTGACTCTCTTATCATAAATGCTGGTGTTCCGCAAGGATCAATTCTAGCACCAACACTATTTCTACTCCATATCAACGATTTGTTGGGAGCAACTTCATGTCCAGTACACAGCTCCGCGGATGATGGTACCCTCCATACCGCCTTCTCTTCCAGGGCTCCAATACCAGCCAGGCAAATCAGAAACGAACGAGGGAGAAATGTTGACAACATAAATATGGACTTGACAACAATACTCGAATGGGGAACCAATAACTTGGTAGATTTCAATGCAAACAAAACACAAGCATGCCCTTTCTCTAGAAAAGCCGATCTCACTGTGCCCAACATAAGCTTGTCAGGAGTAACCATACCTTTGAAGACATCCATTTCGATGCTTGGTATTACTATCAGCAATAACCTTCCTTGGGAAAACCACGTGAGATCAATTGCTAAAAGTGCATCCCGAAAACTTGGTTTTCTGTTTCGGGCCAGGAGCTATTTCACTTCCAGCCAGCTGCTTATGATCTATAAGGCACAGATCCGACCTGTCCTGGAATACTGTTCTCATATTCGGAGTGCAGCACCCCAACATACCCTGAAACTGTTGGATTCTGTCCAAAAAAGGGCAATTCGTCTCGTGGGTGATGCCTCGCTCACAATCTCACTACACCGTAGGAAAGTTGTCGATCTGGCTCTATTTCATAGATATCTCCATTTTCGATGTTCTTCTGAAATATCAACAATTGTTTCTCCCTTGGCAGTCCCCGCGAGATTAACCCGTCGAGTTGAGGCTTCGCACCCCTTCGTGATCACTATGGAGACCTGCAGAACATATCTTCCCAAAGACTTGTTCATCCAACGAACAGCGAGGCTCTGGAACACATTGCCAAAGGAGGTGTTCCTCGAGGCATATAACCTCCAGAAATTCAAGAAGAACACCAATTTCTACCTCATTTCCCTTGCTTCTCACGATGTTCTCTGAACATTACAGGATATCCCTTTTCGGGGAAACCAGAACATGAAAAATTACTTGTATCGGATTGAATTTGATGCGCACCGGATTTTGCGCAGTCTAAGGACTATTTCAACGATTTGGAAAACGAACGAACCTTCTGTGATGGTTCAACATTCGAATAATATCTTCCGACTGCTACTCGCTCCTGTTGTGCGTGTTTTGCTCTGAAAAAATTGAATCATACTCACTGTCGTTGATGAACTGATAGATCCCCTGGAATATGTCGGCGGTGGAGGAGTTCTTATCGCTGTGGTAGGATAGGGCGAGCGCCCTGTAGAGTGATACCCGCGTTCTTGGTCTGATGGGACCGCAATACCGCCCTCCGAATGGAGTGTTCACCAGCTGGGCCGCCGCTGGTTGTAGCACTTCGGCGTATACGTCCAAGTACTCGTGAACACAACTATCGAAAGAATCATCAAAAACATTATAGTATGAGAGATGGCGACCATGATTTTTAATAATGTATCTTTTTGGTTGTATACCGATAAAAATTGTGACTCGACTCCTAAAACAAAGATTATAATAATGATAATGATAACAAGTGTCACTGACAAGCTATTGGATTTTTCTTTTAGGCTCCCTGATGAAAACATCTGTTAAAAGCAGTGACATTTTGGAGCAAATCATCTGATTTGTCCTACTACACATAATATGTGTATCGATATCAATATCTTTATATTATATTGAAATATTACTCATAGTTATATTTTATAGAAACGAGGAGAGAAGATTCAAAATAATCGAGTGAAATAAATGTACCACCACCTCGATTAACCTACAGACAGTATCAGACGGGCTGTTTGACGACAGTCGACTAATTATTATTTTACACATCAGAAATGGCTCCCTGCGAAGATCCTACACTTCTGACAGTTACTGCTAACCAGTCGGCTCTAGGTTCATCTAATCTATCGAGTTTACACAGTTTCAGCTGGGCTGCTGCGAAGCATGGTTTTGGTTTCCATCTTTCGGACTATTATTTTCCATTTCATTATTATGACTGCACAAGAACCAATGACTAGAGAAACTTTTATCGTCCCTGTGTTGGATGACAAGGAAACTGTCGACATGATGAATTTCTAAATTAAACCACAACGTTAATAAGTCTTAAGCGATAGCGAGGACTTCAATCAAACCATAACGTTTGTTTGATTACTACAAGAACTCTATGTAATTAATTAAATTTGTCTGTTTGTTATTATATTACATATTTGATGACATCAGCAGGCACTGTAAGGAAACGAATTATGAATGTGAAGTCAAAGCGGTAAATTAATGATGAACTGCTGAAGGATGCCAGTTTAGTAACAGCATGAGTACGAACATAGGGCTAGTTGGGGTAATCACAAACAAAGCCTATCGCAAACCTCATAAACTTTTGAGGAAATGACATTAAGCTCCGCTTATTCATTGAACATTTATTCCACTTTGAGCATTTTGGTATTTTCTTAGTTGATGTTCAATATAACTTGAATTAAGCACCTACGAATCGCTCGTGAGCAACGACAGCGACACTACAACCTTCATTCGCATTCCAGTATTTGCACCGATTGTTTCTGCTACCGGTTCAGCTATAGAATTGTATATTGTGCAACAAGTGAGAAAAGCACTTTTCCCCACATGTTGCACACTATACTTTTCCTACAAATGCACAAATTCAAAGAATACAAGTAATATAACTCAATATCGATAACATAGTGATAGTACTTTTGTTTATATCCAATTACACTTAGGATTTTCATGAATACACTTACTTCATCGGACCTTGTTTCAAAAATGATTTTGCAATCATAGTCATCAGTAAAAACACAAAGTGAAATTATCATTCATTACTAAACGTTTATCAGAATCGGCACTGAAATGAAAATAAATTGGATAATTTTTGTGAATTGTCGAAAGTATTATATACTGATTTCCTGGAAATTTGAAGCATCTCAATTCCTTCAACTATCTAAAGTAGATATACAGTCATGCTTAGACAAACACGTACAACTATGTGAAAAAATAAACATGCAATTATATGAACGTGAACTGTCATTCTGCAAGCATGTGCAAAACAAGCTGAATAGGAAAATAAACTGTTCAACACTGGATAAATAGCATCGTCTATTAGTGTCCTTGTATTTTTTGCATTGACAAAAAACATACGATGAACTCCGAGCGTAGACCAGTTTATAGCAGGTAGTGCAGATTATATGGAGTACGTACAACTTCTCAACTTCATCTTCTCCATTACAATGAAACTTCAAATATATCGAATTTTGGCGGTTGTCTAGGAACTCTGAATCATCGAATCCGAACCTACCTTTCAATGTCTATGATTTTGAAAAAATGGAATGCTTTCAATGAATTTGTGAGTAGCAAAGTTGACAGTACCTACACATGTATTGGAGAAATGGGAAGGCAAAGACAATTGGGAAATGATTGATAGCTGTAACAATTCAATTTCAAATGAAATCAAAATACAATTGATGTCAAACATGATATTAATTTTTTATTTGAATGGAATTAGTGACGGTCATGTTTTCAAGTAAAAACAAAGTATTCTCTGAATAGAATCGTCATTTTTGTTACAAGTAACTAGGGTCCCTTGATGAAAACTGACGTATTTGTCATCTTAACAGGGTACGGACAGATCATAGCTCCTTTCTCTTTTAATCATCTAATGACTTTGGTTTCGTGTATTGGCGTCCCTGACATGACATTGCTATAACGTCACATTCATAGGCGTTAAAAGAGATCTTAAAAAATTTTAATTTCATACTTCATCTTAATACAACATTATTCAATTCTGTTTTGGAAGGATGGTTAAATGTGCTGCGATAGTCTGTATCAATCAGTTGAATGGCAAATTTGAATTTGTCAGCATTCCATCAGATGCAAATGATCTTAGAATATGGAAAGTGAAGTGACCGAATGGGAAAAATTGGTGAATACATCAGGAAGATATTCGAGGTAAAACTACTACGTAATCACATATTATATTTTCTCATTGTGCCCATAATTATACACTCCACATGTTTTTGAATGAATTTGAGTAGGAATAGTTTTGATTAATACGGAGGATTGAAAGAAGAGGCATATGCCCTACGTACCATTCGAAAAATTATACCTACATTCAGTTAAAATTAAGTGTTCGTTAAAAATTGCAGAAATGATTCCCAACATGAATATATGAGCACATGAGTTTGAATACCTACATACATTTTTTCACCATTTCTCAACCACAAGGCTTAGTCTGCAATCAAAATGAATTTATTGATAGGTACTGTCTAAGAACAGTCCCATTTGGTAAAACGTATTGAACTTCCAGAAAAATTTGCTCACTACCTCACAAAGTCTATACTGGAGTTGAAAAATCAAAAACTCGAAAATTATCATCATTTGGATATATGTAATATGTAGAGTTGAATGAGAAATTACATGTGGAAATTACGTATGATACGCCAATGCCCTCAATATAGCCTAAAAACAACAAATGTCAGGAATCTAGTGTTTATCCCCAGGAATGACAAAAGATGGAACTATATAACTTTAGAGTGAGAGGAGACGAGGATCTGTCCGTACCCTGTTAAGATGACAAATACGTCAATTTAAATCAAGGGACCCTAGATGTAACAACCTAAAAACAAGGCGATAAATAATTATATCTGAACCATCATGAACCGACTATCACCAATAACATTCAAACGCCAATCGAAGAAAAAAAGTTGAGGTATAAGGAAAAGTACCAGTACCGTCTTCTTCAAAGAAGTCCTAATCACTTTCAACATGTTTACTGAAGTAGATTGTACGTTTGACGTGTAATCAATAATCAATCATATATCTTGACTCTGTGTAAAATATTGATTACAGTCTCCATACTTCACGAACAACTGAGTGTAGGATGATATTCCATATATAGGGTGTCCCAAAATTACATAGATTTCAACCAAATATTCTAGGAACAAAAATAGCAAAGAAAGCCGTATATGGGTCCAGAAATGGCCAACTGGGAGGTTATATCCATCTGAAGGAGAGCCCAAGATTATGGTTTTAGGTGAATATTTTTGAAACCATCTGTGATGAACTAACCTCATTTTATATATATTTATGTACCTAACTTCTTATGCCCGATTTGGTAATGTTAAGAATATTGCGAAATTATATTATGAGCTTCTTGTTACTGGAATCTGTGGTTGCAATCTTTCTATGTAATTTCGGTACAGCCGGTATAGACATGTTCGTCTAATTTCTTCAAAAAGTTACCTTTTCACATGAACATGAAGAAGCACCATAATTTTTCATGAACCATTTCCAGTTGAGACTCAATAATAAAGAAGCATAGAATATTATCCTATACTCAGCCATATTTGATGAATCAATCGAAAAAAAAAACAGAGACAGAAAGAGAGAGAGAGGAACAAATGCGGAACTAGCCGAAGGATGAGAGAGAGAGAGAGAGACAGTGAAAGGTTTGTTTGTCTGAAGGTACTCACGCGGGAAGGTCTCCAACAGCAGCTCCACTGTGTGTGCAGGCAGCAACGGCAACACAAGATAACACGTCAAGTCATGGCAAACACACGTGGGGGCACGTGACATGCCAAATGAGAGGCTGAAAACCGATCGGCGACAGCTGCGCACTGTCTTAGGAGTACTAGGAAAGGATGGCATTTGGCAACATCACAGTCTCAGAAAGCAACACCCACCGTTGGGCGCCATAATGAATATCAGTTCACTTTTATGCCCTATATGGAACGATTCACATAATCTCTTGTTAGTCGAAGCCCTGAGGGGGCAGAAGGACGATCTAGCCTTCATAGCCATCTAGTGGCTTGAGTGCAAGGTGTATAGGTAGATTCAACAATCATACCTTGCGACTAAGTCGTGCATATAGACCCCTACGTCTATATGCTTACAGAAAAGACATCCATGTCAGATTCTGTAGACTATCGCAACACCTGTTATTCTCAAAGTGGTTTGATGTTCCACTAACAGATGGTGATAGACCTAGAATCACAAGACTAAGAGATTCTAGGGGAATTTCGTGAATCGATTGTCAGCTGATGCCAGACAGACTGTTTCGACTTGCCATAAGTCTCATCAGTTGCACTGGCCAGCTGACCATCGATTCACGAAGGGTACCTCCATATAACAAACATTAAACCACTTTGGGAATAACAGGTGTTGCGATAGTCTACAGAATCTGACATAGCTGTCTTTTCTGTAAGCATATAGACGTAGGGGTCTATATGCACGACTTAGTCGCAAGGTATGATTGTTGAATCTACCTATACACCTTGCACTCAAGCCACTAGATGGATATGAAGGCTAGATCGTCCTCCTGCCCCCTCAGGGCTTCGACTTGTTTGTTATATGGAGGTACCCTTCGTGAATCGATTGTCAGCTAGCCAGTGCAACTGATGAGACTTATGGCAAGTCCAAACAGTCTGTCTTGCATCAGCTGACAATCGATTCACGAAATTCCCCTAGAATCTCTGCAGAGTTTTAGGTAGAGCATCTGCCCGGTAATCTGAAGGTCCTGGGATCGATCCTCGGTAGGAGCGCATTTTTTTATTTATTTATCCAACATAAGATCTTTTTTACTCTGTCTAGATCTGTTTTTCACTATCTGAGCGGAGAAGGCGAATTTACGTTGATTCAAGTATCATGGTCCTGAATGGACGTACTGGAAATGCAAAAATGCTCGGAATCTAGACGTCCCCAGTACGTACGAAACGTTTTGGCCAAACGTTCTCAGTACGTTTTGGGGACGTACTGGTGCAATATGGGTTGTAGGTATGAACTCAATCAATATGATGAAGCTTCCAAAAATATAACTCTGGCAAACATCAGTAAAATAGGGTGGTAGCCACCAATCTTGGGTATTCACCTATTACCGAACTAGTAGTGTGATTACTGTAATCGATTATTCAATTGGAAAAATTAAATTGAATAAAATGTTTTATTTATATATGAATACATTTGAACGTATGAATGAGAATTTTAGCGATATATATCAAGGTTCTGCGGTAGAGTGACAGTATTCTCCATAATTGGCTATAGTGGCAATGCAGCCTAATGCAATCCTTTCTTAATACTCTTATAATACCAGTTCGTTTGAAAAGCTCAACATGCTCAAAAAATCATGAAGATCACGAAATCTGACGTCACTGATTTGCTTTTAATGATCCAGTAGGAGCAATAATCTCTTACTCAACTCAAACAAACAGAAATCTTGACCTACTGCTCAACACAAACGAACAAAAAACAGAAGCACGAATCATTTCTGAACATAACCCATTCTGAATAATTTCCAAATTCATTTCGGTTTGATTCCTTTTGTTCGTTGGTATTGGTAGAAATAAAAAATTAGTGATTATCATGATAAATCCATTGTCATACATTTAATACCTCGGCAATGTCAACAAATTCATTCTTTTTTACCATATTAATTCATTATTGTTGCAGTTTTCGACAATTTCTTTGTTTTTATTTGTCATCCAACTTGATCAAGCTCCCTGTAAAGCGGAGCAAATAAATCTTGCTTTATGTGATCTATTGCTACTTGCTTCAGTCGAACGAACACCCAATCATCAATTGTTAAGAACAAACGAACATCAAATATTGCTCTCATCACTTTTGAGCAGCGTGAGCATGACGAACGAACAGTCCTGAAAGTGAAGATTTCATATAAGTACAATTAGGATGCCTAATCTCGAAATTCAACCTCTCATTCATGCCATCGGCATTCTGCACGTGCAACGATAATCTCTAAATAATCAGTAACAGTGCCGAAGAATCAGCCAGTCCCCATCATCATTTATGTAACATTGTCAAATATTGAATCATGTATGTTCAAGATTTAACGAGCATAAGCAAGACATAGGAACAGAGCGAACAAATTTGTTCACGTGATTGTTAGCTATCACATACCGGAATCAATCAATCACTTTCTAGGTAAATTGGAATTCCCAATTTGCACAGTAACAGTCCCAATGCCGAGCATGCGAACCCAACTCGTTTATTACCGAAAGAGTAATGGAAAAATCAGAAGACCTATAAAAATGGTGAACTGAAAACTGAATTATAGGTCCGAGTAGGCCGATTCCATTACTCAGGATTGCGTATCGACATTCGATGATGGGGACTCACTATTCGCTATCTATCAATCTCCACAAGGTACGGGGTGAATTATACCACAATGAATCGACAGTTTCATCGAATTCCTGGATATAGATCAACCTGTACCACAGTATTTGATATAAACATCGACATCTCGACCTATTTGGCAATCGCATAATACAATACTGTCCAATATTAGTCCAGGATTCTGTGAAAGATCTGATTTGACAACCTTCTTGTGGTTTGTGAACGAATATAATTTAGGTGCCAAAAAAATCATAGAGTTATTCAGAGTTATTCAAACAGAGCTGGTTTATGTATTCTAGAAATATATAGTTCTAATGAGATTACATATTGAACAAACACAGCCTCTGGAATTATTGAACAAGTGACCATGATCTCACATCATATCATCATATCATATTGTGTCGATGCCGTTTGATTGTCTCTTTCAGATAAATTGTACAGAGACCAGATTGACCATGAAATCAAAAGTTATGATGCAACATGGTGAAGAAAAAATTAATTGGAAATAATAGAAAAGAGTGTTTGATAACATATTCGTTTTGTAGAATTATGGAATATCCTACAATCAAGGTGATGAGCTGAAGTTACAAGTAACAACTTACATAATCAGAGACCTTAAAGGATAAATAATGATGATCTCACTTATTGTGCATATATTTAGAGACAACGATTATTGAGATTTAACCTCCGCACAGATTTGAGAATGAAATTTGTTCATCAAGAATTATCTAACGGTTATTTCAGAATGCTGGATTAATATTCATCGTTCACAAGAAGAAGCTTGAGTTTTTATTCAGTTACAGTACAGCCTACAACCTAACCTAAATTCAAAAAATACATTTCGATCTTTACTTCATAGTTTCTTCAAATGTAGATAATCGACTCATACAAAAATGGTACAAACGAATATTGATTTGTAAGAGAACCTCATTCTGCAACATGAAATCATCATCCTCATAGAATCTTATTCTATTTCTCATAAAACTTCCGAGACTGAGATATATATGAACCGACCAATTCTACATTATATAAACCATTAGTTTGTCAGTAGATAACTAATCTAGCCAGCTAATTTCTCAGTGGCGATAAACTAAGGCAGTGTCCTTTAGTGGAAAGTTCTAATCTTGATGCAGAACATTAATGGCCAGGAATATTGTGGCTAATGATGTCGTTCTCTGGCTCTGAAATTGATGAGTTCTAGACTGAATTTCCTTGAAACCTATCTCCCTCCGAATACTAATAAATCATTGGTTTTGTTGGATCTCTGGATCTCTAATATAGAAACTTTTCACTACCACCAGTGTTTCACTTCTATAAAATACATCTCATTCCTATCAAGATAAAATATATTTTCTGTAACACGAATGTGCATCAAAATCAATCTTTCCATTTCATCCCAAGAAAACTTGTGCTTATATTCATTATCTAGTCTCAAACTGCATGAATTCATCAAACTATTATCAATGATCGATTTTGATAAAAGTCATCGCAGTAAGCGTTGTCGTTCTATGAATGAAAAGCTAGTTAGTAGGTAAGAGGTATGATATTTTTCTGTTTACTGAGCCAAAATGTGACTACCTATCAATAGCGCTAGTATACTGAAAACTTCGAGAGTTGATTTGTTTGAATATTCAAAGCGTCATCTCAGACAACTGACTAACTAGGTTTCAATTTGAAGCGACAATGCAGTAAGAATCAAACCGGAAGAAGAATGTGTCCGGTTCTGACTCCCAACCAAGGCCATAATAGTGTGACCTTGGAAATGTGTCAGAACCGGCCTTGTCCTACTACTGACGATCGTCGTTCTATGAACAGTCAACAAGACGTTGTATCTGACTCACTCTGGCGGCCTCCCTCTCAAATTGAAGGTGACGAAAGTGATCTGGACACGTTGACCTGCTCCTGCCAGGAATGTGTACACGCAGTTCCTGGACAGCCCACGTGGATTCTCGAACTCCGGAGCACGGAATGTGCCGTTCATTGGACCGCCCGGACGACTCACAAATGTCTGATCACACTCTGCAACAATAATTTTCATTGGTAATACCACTAGAGCTTCAGCCATCCGATTGCATTCTTTTTGCGGACGACATCACTTTCTTCCACTCAAGCAACAGTATTGCCACATTACAACAGAATGATCTCACCACACAAAACAAAGTTGACGAGTGGCTTAAACCGAATGGACTCGTCAACAATCCAGGGAAAACTCAAAAAATTGTCTTTTCTATGAATAAAGATGTCTCTCACGGCAATGTTAAACTCCTTGGGATGACCCTCGACAGTAAACTCAAATGGTACGACCATATTGATTATCTAAGTAAAAAACTATCCACTCAAATTTTTTTATTAAGAAATTTGAAGAAATCATTCAGCTCAACGGCCATCAGAATGTCGTATTTCTCACTTTTCCATTCACATCTGGTCTATGGAATAACCTTGTGGGGCAACTCCTCACAGGCTGAACGGATATTTATCCTCCAAAAAAAGGCCGTCAGAATAATTGATGGTGCAGGACCCAGGGAGCCATGTAGACAGATATTTTCGAAATTGAATATTATGACTTTACCAGCTTTATATATATTTCATTGTCTTTTAGAGATTCACGAGAACATTCATTTATTCATTAAGCATAATAACATACACAACTACCATACAAGAAATAGAAACTCACTCATCAACCCAAGATTACGACTGGAAACTTCATCCAAAACCTCCTTAAATGTCGATCTGTACAATAAACTTCCCGATAATTATAAAAACCAGAATACCACCAAATTTAAAACCTCAATCAAACAGATGTTACTGAGGTTCAATTTTTATTCTATTAGAGAATACCAATGTGCCGAATTTACTGAATACCCACCTTCCCAGTGACACAGTATCTCTCCATTTTATCGACCGTAAAAAGCTTCCTACTTGAGTATGTTTATGTTTGTCTCAACTTGTTTTATATTTGTTATTATCATTTGTTTGTATTTTACAAGTATTCAAATGATTACCCTGTATACTACTGACGCGTGTAATTGAAAGTATTTCAAATCACTAAATATATATCTATCTATCTATCTATTACTGGACATGTTCTCGAGAACACAGCTAAAATTGATAGAAATATATCTTCTAACAAGGAACTCATCAACTCATGGAATGAATTCGACATAAGTCAAATATAAATGTATTTTCACCTATAATCATGCTTCTCACCAGCTATGGTAACGATACAAAATACAGGCTTTCAATTGGAATTTCAGCTGCCCTTCAAGAAGTTATATGATTGGATTTATATTGGGGAATAAATTCGAAATTGAATAGGGAGTTCCTCAAGGTTGGGTGCTTGGCCCGTTTCACTTTCCGCTGTATATAAGCGACGTAGCCTCATAGTATCGGTTATAAAAAATGATGAGTTGCTTTGAATGATTATCGACGATAACATCAAGATAAATGGAGCATAATACCATCTGCTTTCTTCAATTAATTCAAAAATAAATCAGTAAGTAACGAATGATAAATTGCAGTTGGACTAATCTTTCTTCAGGTAATGTCTTCCACGCCATAGGGCTGTCTCATAATGCTCCTTTTTCATTGTTCAAACTCTTTTTCTCATTAAAGACAAATCTCTAGTGACACATAGGAATCCTAAGATATCTCTGGCAACTTTTAATTGCCACATTTGGAACCAGTACGAACTTTAAAGTGGAATTCAGACACTCAAAGCTGATGAAGCGGTCAGGTTCGAAAATACAGAGGAAGATCAAATGTTGGAATATCAATAATCAACACCGTGCAATAACTGTTATAAATATTCTGTTCGAATTTCTATGATGTCATTCTGATATTTTATTAGCATGTCAGCTGGGCCAATACAAAGGCAATAAAATTGATGAATTAATATATCAACCCCTAAAACACACAATTTATGTTTGCCACTCTCGAACGTTATTGAAATTGTGTTTTATTTCTGGCGCCAATCTACGCAATCATCGCTTCTGTTTCCCATTCAATTGTTTCCGGAAATTTATGTCGATGTGAATTTTCGAATCCGAAGATATTTCCGTGATTCTGTAGTGAATTGAGTGACGATAACGAATCCATGCATTTCATGATTGTATCTGTGCGGGGTGGAAATTTATTGTTTGTAGACTGTTGGAAATCAGTTGTCGCTTTCAAAAATTTCGTTTATTGTTGAAAACATTTCTATGAATTCATCGACACTTTTTTCTTGACTCCTACTACTATTACTCCCCATCTTGTTGTCAATGGTATTATTTGTCAATTTGCAAGCTTCCATCAATGAAATAACTTAAGGGCCTTTCTAAAATAGAAATAACGAAGCTATCTGAAATACCAAGGTAACTTTCATCAAATCATATTTTCCTGTTGTATTTTTGTCAAGAACACATAGTTTATATATCGACAAACATTTCTTGGAATTGTCTGAATGACAACAAATAAAATTCAGTAATACAATGTTTTTCTTCAACACGTAACAATATCATCTCAAGACATATCTTTTTAGTTTTTCGCAAAGTGGAGTATCTATAATCCTAACCGATGTCACACACCAATTTGACATTTCAACAGTCGATGAAGAAATTATTGGAAAATATAGTGACATACGAACGTATATTCGAAATCGAAAAATGGAAACTCCATTCGACTACACTGATCAATCTAAAATAGTATACCAAGTTTCAATTTTTTTCCTCCAGGAGTGTCGAAAAACGTAACATAAACCTTTGAATGTATGACAACGTGGAGAAAAATTCCTGAGAATATTCCTTTTCAATACTCTTATACCCAATCAAGGGATTCAAACTTTAACGATGGCAACTTGGTATTTTCATAGACCTCCAATAGCAGATTGGTGACTGGGTTTTCGCAATTCAGAATTTTTTTTCCACGCCGTGGATGATGAATATCCATTTGTCATACATCCAAACAAACAAAATGTACAGATAACAGGAATGTCAACAAAGAATTCCCAGATGTCAGTAATGAGAAGGGTTTAATACCCGAAATGAGTTCATTCGAATGAAGTGAGAGATACTATTCTCATATCACTGATACAAGTGTTTTAAAGAAATTTCAAGCTCGTCACGGTCAGAGTTGATACAAATATACTTCTCCAATACATTTAAATTTGCATTTCAATACTGAATATATTAGTGAGATATATTTTTATATCATTATGAAGCATATTATTTATCCAATTCGGAAGAGAATGCCAAATCTCAATTCCAGAGGATTCTTATTTTCATGTTCTCTTTTTAGATGGCAAATAGCCAGAAAGCAGTTGTTTTCTGTTGAATATTCAGAATAATATCATGTGCATGTATGTTAGCCCCCTCGCACCCGACACTGACTCCGTCTGGGTGATGTAGTCGTTCATCCACCGAGGAACTAGAGATCTGTGTTTATATTATGGGATTTGTTTATATTACAACATTCTTCCTCGAGAGAACCGAAGCCAGCCGGCCAGTCTGTATCGATATTTCATATAGGATACAATTTATTGAAGTAATCGGAATCAATAAATGAGTTTTTCCCGAATTTGTACAGTATTTTCTTCAATTATCAAACAAAAAGCTAACATCAGAAGTGGGATATCTTTTCCTGTGTTCAAACAGGGAAGAAAGGACCAGAAAATATTTTTTTTTCCTCGTGGTTGGTGAACAAAGAAATGGCTGACGGCGGCAAGAAAGACGCGCCCACTGTTAGTGTGTGTGAGCAAAGTGACAATGAACATGAGTTAGACGGACACAAAAGTGCCTCTGACGTAAGTGTGGACGATAAAATTTTGAAATTATGGGAAATGCAGAACCAGAGCAACATACAATTTCAACAACAAATGATGCAAGTACTATCTACGATGGTGGCTCAACAGGGTGCGGCTCAATCGGTTCATACAGCAACGTTAGGTCAAGAAGTTGTGCCTGCGCCTGTGCGCGATGCTGGAGTCGCAGCATCGGCGCAAATTAGACTCTCCAGTTTTGATCCAGATGACACGCCCTTCACGATGAATGAGTGGATGAATGACGTCACCCGCATACAGGAAGAAGTTGGTTTCTCGGACACGGTAACTGTGCTGAAGGCCGGCGATGCTCTGCGCGGCCGGGCTGCCCGATTTTATAAGCACTGGAAACCTATGGTTCGTGATTGGGCCTCCTTTCGTCGGGATTTTGAAGTTGCTTTTCCTGAGCAAGGTACTCCCGCAACTCGAATACGTGCTTGCCTCGCTATCAAGAGTTCTGACTTTGGATCGTTTGTGGAATATGGTAACGCCAAACTAGCCGCAATCAAGCGATTCTATTCGGAGTTTCCATGGAAAATAATCAGTAGTCTTGTTGAATATGACGTTCAGGATACTGAGGTCAAAAACAGAATCTGTATGCAAATGCCACCATGCGAAGCAGAACTGTTGAAGCTTCTGGCAACTTGCGATGCTCGCTGTATTACTGAAGAAAAGCCAACACAATTCGCAAACCGTGTCACAGACTTCAGTACCCGCGCGCGAAAACGTTATCATTCGCCTGCTGGAAATAGGCCATTTGTATTTGCCGGTAAGTGTAGAAAGTGCGAAAAGTTTGGACATAAACAATCCGACTGTAAACAGAGGATGAGTGGTGCAGAACAAAATGCACCTGGGCCATCAGGCATCACAAACAAAAACAACACTGAAAACAAATCTCTGAATGTCAAACAATGTACTCATTGCAAAAAAATCGGACACACAGAAGACACTTGTTATTTCAAACACGGTTTTCCTAAACGTGTACTGCTAACACAGAAGACCCGTTTTTTGCAATCGTTTCCGCAAGCGACGATGACAAATAAAGATGCATGCGTCTCTATTGCCTATTTGGTGGACACTGCAGCTGACGTTTCTGTATTACACAAAAAGGTCGCCCAAAAATTGAACCTAGAAATCAAACCGGGCACTCATAATCTGACTGGAATTGGAAATTCTATCACCTGTTCGATAGGCCAGTGTACCGCTATAATGTTTACACCCATGA